ACAATAAACCTTAACTATCTCATAGGGCCAGAGTGCTTCTTAGAGCTAAGGATGACAAGATTTCATTGTATATATTTTCAGCATGTTATCAGGAGAGACCAGTCCCTGGAGAAATATATAATGCTGGGTAAAGTAGAGGGACAGTGGAAAAAGAGGAAGGCCTTCCATGAGATGGATTGACACCAGGGCTGTAGCAATGGACAGGTATAGGAACCATTGTGATGATGACACAGGACTGGGCAGTGTTTTGTTCTGTTGTGCGTGGGGTCTCCGTGGGTCAGAACAGACTTGATAGCACCTATCAACAGCAATAACAACAATACTTTTTATTGATTTGACATCAGTGAGTTGGGTGGTTTTATTCTTTGTTTTAAGAATGTTGACTATGAAGCCAAGGAAAATGAAATCTTTAACAACAAATCCTTTCTTCACGATATGATGCTGAATATTGGTAAAGTTATGAGGATTTTGTTTTATGTTGAGGTGCAATGCATATTGAAAGAGGTCACCTTTACCCTCCTCAGTAAATATTTTAAATCCTTTTCATTTTCAGCAAGCACAATTGTTCTATTTGCATTTTACTGATTGTTAATGGACCTTCCTTCAATCCTGGTGTCACCACATTTTTTGTACCTTCTAGTATTTTGGAATATATTTGCTCAGCATTGTGAATGGATACAAATCTGATACACAACCATCCTTATTCAAAACCACAAAGTATACCTTTGTCTTGTTGAAATACCACAGCTTGGTCTATGTACAGGTTGAGCATGACCACAATTAGGAGTTGTAGAATTTCTGATCTTTGCATTGTTGTTGATCATTTGTTATAATGTGCACCATACTATGTTGGAGAAAATACAATTTCCTTATTTTGACTACTATCCATCATCAACCAGTTTACACTTAGTCATGAGTGGTACAGCTTTGAAAGCATCTGCTTGTATAGTTATTTGACTTTTAGGACAGCAAACAATGGGGGAAATGGGATTCTGCTTGGCCTAACTTGAAGAGTCATTAAATATTTGCATATTCTGAAAATTATCCAAGATATTCTTCTAGCACTGAGTTTCAGGAAAGAGAGGTTATGCTAAGTCTGGCATTTTATGTTTTATTGCTTCATGTTTATACTATATACTTCATGTTTAATGCTTCATGTTTGTACTATACATGTTCAAACCTGAAGAAAAATTTCATTTCCACCCCCAGATATATTGACTCAAAATCTGTATTTTTAAAAGCTACTCACATGATTCTTATATCCTAAATGAACTTGTCAAAAATGTAAATCCCTTACAGAATATCACTCAGGAATAGACTTGTTGGGCAGGTTGAATGGTTATGAAAATTAGATGTTATTTGTTCATTTCCCCAAAACTTTGAACTTTCATGATTGCTCAGTAATAAATGAACTTTTATCTTTGAAAAACATTTAGGTAAGACTAAATGAACTGGTTTGAAATCTTGAAATCCCCTCCCCACCCAATTTCTGTTTTAAAATACAACAGCTTGCTTTATATAGCTCTTCAATATAAAGCATGACAGGAAGCCCATTTTGATTTTAAACTAAAGATTTCTAGAGAGTTGAATCTTTTTCTTCAGTTGTAGCTCCACCATTAATAGAATCTCTGTTGTTTTCTGTCATACTACTCGTATCATTTAACATGTATCAGTGTTTGGGGGAAGAGAAGTTGGTAAAAACTGACAGACTACTAGAAATCTGACTGTGGTTAAAATGCTATTTAGAGGATATGTAATTAGGTTGTTTTGTGCCAACATGGCACCTGTAAGAAGGTATGGGTGGAGTTTAGCCTGTCAGTCAGGTTGCAGCTTGGTTACCTTCCTTGGACATGCTACTGAGAGTTATCACTCTCTGGAGGCTGGCCATTCTCTCTGTGCATCTTCACCTTCCTGCTTTCTGGCCACCCTGAGAGCTGCTGGGACCCTGCCATAGTTTCCACTGAACTTGGACCCACAGGACTTTGGACCCACTAGCCTATGATATACCCACATTCTACATCATTGCATGTGGTTATGTGAGTCTGAAAAGGGATTTACGGACTGTTATCAAATTTATGGTCTGGAGTTGGACTGGCATGGGATGTTTTCTCAATATATAATTACTTTTTGATATAAAATTCTCTCATACATGTATGGGTGCCTCTGGATTTGTTTCTAGTCTACCTAGTCTAACACAAATGATAAGATCAAACAAGCGGTTCAAACCTGAAAAAAATGTTCATTTCCACCCCCAGATATATTGACTCAAAATCTGTATTTCAAAAGCTACTCAAATGATTCATATATCCCAAATGAACTTGTCAAAAATGTAAATCCCTTACAGAATATCACTCAGGAATAGACTTGTTGGGCAGCTTGAATGGTTATGAAAATTAGATGTTATTTGTTCATTTCCCCAAAACTGTGGACTTTCATGATTACTCAGTAATAAATGAACTTTTATCTTTGAAAAAAAGTAAATCCTGATCCAGTGTATTTTCATGGAAATGCAAGTTTTCAGCAGTAGGTAAGATTAAATGAACTGGTTTGAAATCTTGGATCAAATGTCCTTTTACTATTTGGAATTTTTTTAGATCTCCCAGTAAGATAAAATAATTTTTTTCTAGATAAATTCAGAATTTAGTGAAAGAAAGAATGTGAAGCATAGGTAAAGAGTGAGGTCTGCTTGAATATTTGGCAAGAATATTTGAGCATCAAGGCATTGGTTATTCAATGGTAGAACTCTTCCCTCTCTTATGGGAGACCTAGTGAACTAATGAACCTCATGTAAACCCACCACCTAGAAGATATTTAAAACTGAAACAACTTCAAAAAGGGACAAAAGGGAGATCAAATTATTGATAAGGCAGTGCATTTTAACCTAACTACATTTGCCTGAATCAACTTAACAAGACTCTCTGTCTGGTAGCAAGGTTGTTCACATCACTGGACTATTGCCAGAGGAGATTCATCAGAGATGTGATCCACGTGGGGACCCTGAAGATGGATGTTGGACTTCCACCATCATCTATAGCCTTTGCAAACAGGTTATTTAGAATTTAAATCCTGGTCCTGTCCCCTCCTCCATATTTGGTTTTTATTATTTATAATTCTTGGATCACACAAACTGTGTGCTTTTTCCATGTGGTCTTAGTTAATGCCTCACTTAGATGGCTATTTTAAGACAATCTTTTAAGAACTATTCTTTCTAAAAGCCAGGTACCATCTGATTTATTCTCCTTTCTGTGTTATAGCATCTGTATCTTCAGTGACCTCTTCATGAGGGTGATTATTGAGTAGGATCATGTTATAAGAATGAATTTTTCTTAGGTTAGGGCAATGATTACATGTATGGCCCCAATCCATTCATATATCTATGGTTTAGATATGTATGACCAATTTTTAAAGTAGAAAAATCATAATTCATCCCCTCCCCACCCAATTTAAGGATGTGTAGTAATGACAAGACAATGCTTCCTGTCATTGGAATAGCTCCAGCTTGTGAAGCTTGACCGGAGTAAAAGGACTAAATCTTACCGCAACTCTTTTCAGGTCCTCCCACTTCAGCACAGATCCAGAAATGAAAGTTGTATAGGCCATGTAGGACTTAAGTAAGGTTTCCAACTCCAAAGAAGGAGGGTTCCTTTGGAACAAGAGGACATTTTAAAAATATATGATTAATCTTGTTTGTAGATGTAATTTTGGTTATATATATGTTTAGTCATGTCTAGGAGTCAGGACAGATTGGGAAGAATGTAATAATGCATATTCACTCCTTGTCTGTCAGTTTACCATATTAGGGTAGCTTGTATGTTGATGTGATGCTGGGAAGTAGGCTACTGGTATTTCAAATACCAACAAGGTCACTCATGATAGAAAAGGTCCAATGGATTTTTCAGACTAAGACAGAGTAGGAAGAAGGCCTAGTGATCCACTGTCTCACCCCCACCCCCGCCCCCCAACCCCAAAGAAAGTGCTAATGAATGGCTATATGGATGGTTATAGAACATTGTCTATAGAGTGCTGAAAGATGAGAACCTCAGGTCAGATGTCACTCAAAATACAACTGAGGAGGAGATGCCTCCTCAAAGCAGAGTTGACTTTAATGAAGTGAAAGGAGTAAAGCTTTTGACTTTCATTTGATGATGTGTTATGGCTCAAAATGAGAAGAAAGATCTACAAATATCTATAGGATTTGGACTGTGAACTGTATGCCATATGAATCAAGGATGATTGGCAGTTGCCAACCATGAAATTTAATACTAGAAGATAACCTAGGCATTAATGAAATGAAATGGACTGGTATAAGCCATTTTGAATCTTACAATCATGTGGGACCTTATGTCTTGGCTGACAAACTGGGAGGAATGGCATCACATTCATCAGGGATGTTTAAAGATCATTCCTGAAGTCCAGTACTATCCATGGCATAGGACCAAGCAGTGTTCCCATTTGTTGTACCTAAGGTCACTAGGGTTAAAAATGATTCAATGGCACCTAACAACAACAACACAAAGAATTGGCAGAGCAGTTAAAAAGTTACAATGAGCATATTCAAATTGATGTACCAACAGTAAATACCAAAGATAAAAACACAACAGTTTGGAATGAATTAAACATGAAACCAAGAAGCATTGGTAAGTACTGGTGATTCTAAAGGAAAAGGTAGAAACAAAGAAGAACCGATGAATTATGAATTAGAAATACCCCTTTTTCAATAACATACACGATCTGGGCTTTGATGGATGGAATAAACAGAAATAAAATTAACTACATCACAGGATACAAAACTTAAAGAAGATCAATTTCATCAGTCAGAAGAAGATTAGGAGTCCACTCCAAAAGAAACCATATAAAAGTTCAAGTTCCCCCAATGAACTAATAATAATAATAAAAGTTCAAGTTGAAGTGGAATAAAACAACGAGTTAAGGAGAGCCAAATACCACCTTAAGTATTTTGTTCTGAGTTTAAAGATCATCTCAAGAACAGATTTGATATTTTGACCACTAATGACCAAAGATCAGATAAGTTGTGGGGTTACGTCAAGAATATTATGCATTGAAGAGCTCAGAATGTCACTAAAAAGATAGGAAAGAAAGAAAAGAACAAAGTGGATATCAGAAGAGATTCTTAAACTTCTTGAATGTCATTAGTTAGGTGTCATCAGGTGTTCCAACTCATATGGACTCTGTTCACACAGAACTAGACACTGCCCAGTCCTGTGACATCCTTATAGTTGTTGTGATATTTAAGCCCATTGCGGAAGTCATTGTCAATTCATCTCTTCAAGGATTTCCTCTTTTTCCTGATGCTCTACCCTACCAAGCATGATGCCCTATTCCAGGGATCAGTCTTCCCTGATAGCTTGTCCAAAGTATAGGAAATGAACTCTCTAGCCTCCCTTCTGAGGAGCATTCTGGCTGTACTTCTTTTGAGACATATTCATTTGTTCTTCTGGCAGTTTGTGCTTTCCGTATTCTTCAGCAGCACCATAATTCAAATGCATCCATGCTCTTTCTTGAATGTAGGCTATCTAAAGTAAAAGTAAGTCATGTGAAGTAAAAGTTGAATATTAGATGTCAAAGAACATCTTGAGAAGACAAAGTGGAGTGTTGTAATGAAATGTTAAAATGCTGGAAGTTAGAAACCCAAAAAGGAGGAATACATTTAACATTGATCAACATGCAAAAATAAATAAATAAATTCTTCTCAACTAGACCAGAAAGCAATGTCATGATAAATGGGGAAAATATTGAAGACATCCAGGGTTTAATTTTACTTGGTTTCACAATGAGCTCCTATGGAAGCAGGTGTTGAGAAATCAAGTGATATATTGCATTAGACAGATCAATGGCAAATAAAAATTTAATAACACTGAGAAGCAAAGATTTCACTTTGAGGACTGAAATATGCTTAACCTAAGCCATGATACTTCAATTATTTCATATGCATGTGAAATATGGATAATTTCAATGCAGTGAACTGCTTAATATAGCACTTATAGTCATAGACGTTGTTATTCTCCCCCCAAAGATCTTTACTTTTTTGATGGGTCTTGGTAGAAAGGTGTGAGAAGACATTGATTAGATTATACAATACAACTGTGAGCAATTGTTAACAGAGTTCATTGTGATTGCCATCTTGCTGGGTATAAAATCAACCATCCCAGTAGCAGGAGAACAGAAATTTCACTGTAAGCAAGAGTCAGTTGTGGAGTGGATCATTTGGACCAGGTATCTGTGCATGTTGTACCTCCTTGATCCAGAAGACTGATTTGATACTCTAGGAATAGCAGAAGAACACAAGCAGCAGAACCAGAAGCCAGAGTATGAGGCATAAGGATGGACTTCTCAGGTCCCAGAAAAAGTTAAGCTGAGCACTGGAGGCTGACTTGTGGAGTGGGGTACCACTGGGCATGTTATTGAAGGAAATGGGTTTGCTGGATTCACAGAGCTAGAACTGAGAGCCTTCTCATCAAGGCTTACAGTGAAGTGACATGCCCTTTGGACATTGATTGGCAGTCTTAAAAGAATTGTGTAACGTTTCCCGAGCAGGGCAGAGGGCAGACTAAGAGATTGAAGATGATAGTGAGGCTTCCCTGGAGACATGGCAGAGAAGAAACTGTCCTGACTGAACAACTGTTTGCTTATGGTTTCTCACCTATAGGATAACCTGCTAACTTCTCTAATAAACCTCATAATTATGAACATGCCTTTGAGGTTTGTATGGCCATTGCAATAAGTTATCAAACACAGCCACAGAAGTAAATATTGAGGGAACTGAAACTGCAGTCAGAATAGGACTCACCCGTCCAAAGATCTTGCTGCCAGACCAGAAAATTGGGAGGTAGGTGAAGGAAACTGGGAGTTGGAGTCCTGAAATTAGAACTAGGGGACTAGGTTCTCTCCTGAACCCCCTTTTTGCGTGTGATTTCCACTCACAAAGCAAACCAAGAACACTCTAGAGTGCTCTAGCATTGGCAAGCCCACGGGCGACAGCTGACAAGCTCCTTGCACCCTTGCCGGGAGCAGTGATTTCTCCAGGCTGATGCCCTAAAGGGGACAGAATCCCAGATACGAGGAGAAACCCACACCAGAGGTCTCCACGTTGTTGGCTTCCTTGAGCTCATAGCCTGGGGAGTGGGGGTAGTGGGTAGCCATAATTTGGAGTAGAAGAAACAGCAGATTTTTACCTGCGGCAGATCGCAGTGTGGGAGAAAATTGGTGGATAGTCGGAGTCCAGGGAGCAAATTTAGTTCCAGTTAGCTGAGAAGGAAACAATCCCCCTGATAAGCTGGATCTCCCCCTCTGGGCGTCAGCATGACAGCCCGCAAATCTGAGCACATCACAAGCATAATATAAAAAAGAGTGAAATATAGATTATTGGTTAAAAACTCAAACCCCAGTCCTGTTGTTCAGCTCCAAGAAGCACATAGATGGGGGCCCTTAACATAAATCAGCATAAGAAGAAGCTCTCGCTAAGGAATGCCAGAACTTAGCTACAAGGCCTGGAGGCTCTTTGCTTAGCAAAGACCCGCTAAAGCAAGTCTCAGGTTTTAACAGAGCACAGAGCTGAAGCCCAGACACTGAGAGAGACAATTTAATTTGATTCTATTATAGCTGGCCAGGGGGGTAAAAAATAAAAAATATAAAAATCCTCTGATCTAATAGGGCACCATAAGTCTAGATAGGCCAATAACCCCAGCTTCCTTCTCAGTGATTCTACACCCAGCGCGGGAGGTCCTGCCTGTCCTGGGGCCCCAGATGGGGCTGTGGGAACACTCTGCTCCCTGCCCCTGCTGCAGTGCTACATACAGCACAAGGCAGGTAACGCAGTGAATTCCAGCACTCAGTGCTGCAGTGGGAACTGACGCCTGGCCACAGGTGCAATCTTCCCTTTGAAAGAAATCCCACACTGCATCTGTGGAACCCTGCATCAAACGAGTACACCACCCCACTACCTTAAGGAAGAGTTGGAACTCCTCCACCTTCACAGACAGGTGATCAAGTCTCAATTATGTCCTTACTTACCACTTTATTTCTTCTCTGTTTATTCACTCGCCCTTCTCTTTCCCACAGCAGTCAGTTCAACAAGCTCAGGGTTGTGTTGGGTTTTTTTCCCCTCTCTTTCTTCTTTTCCCCTCTTTTTTTTCTTTTTCTCTCTTTCTCCTCTTCTCTCCCACTCTTTCCTATTGTACGCCACTACTGGCTTCCAGGTCACTACCCTCCACTTAGGGCAAATCAACTCAAATAGCAGAGGGGACTCCAGCTTGCCCTCCGTGGGAGTGCTGTACACCACACAAGGCAGCTGTGACAGCCATCTACACCACGCTGCGCTTCTGAGGAAACCTCCGTTATACCTCTAAGGCTATCTTGTCAACTAGGGCAATTCTGCCCAGCACCACTGGGTTCCTGCATTAAAAGGGCACACCAACCTGCCATTGTGAGGCAAGGTCCAAACCCCTCTGGCCCCACATTAAAGCAATCAGGGATCAATGATCTCTTTATTCTTTATTTCCTCCTTCTCTCTCTCTTCCCTCTTTAACATCACAGCCAATCTTAGTGAGCAGTTGAATTTTTCCCCTTACTTCTTTTTCTTTATGTCCTGTTTCTTTCTTTGTTCTCTTCACTTCTCTTTCTGCT